GTATCGATCAATAATAAATAATTAATTAATTAATAAATAACAATTAATAACAATTTAATGAGGACAAATTAAAAAATAAAACAGGTATTAAGTGTGAGACACCGTTATTTTTTTTTATTATTTTTATTATTATTATTATTTTTTTAATATTATTATTATTATTATTATTATTCGATGCCGAGTCATTTTTTATTTTTCATTATTATTATTATTATTTAAACGAACAAAAAAGAAAAAAACATAAAACATAAAAAATAAATAAATAAATTTTAATTATTTTATCTTTTACTATTCAAGCAATTTTATTTATTAATTTATTATCGTGTAGTAGTAGTAGTAGTAATAATAATAATAATAATAATAACTAATTTATTTATTTATTTATTTTTTCACCTATTTAACCTCGTAAAAATGTAACAATAATAATAATAATAATAAGTTTTAAATTAAAAAATAATTAATTTTATATGTACATAATTTTTTAATTTGAATTTGAAAAAAAAAAAAAAAACTCATCGATAAAATTTATTATTATCATTATTATTATTATTTATTTATTTATTTACTTTCTTTCGCTTTTAAAAATTACATTAAATAATTAATTATTTTATGTATTATATATGAGAAATATTTAATAAATAATTTTAAGCTCAATTAATGTATTATTAATAATAATCTAAACGGCGGCGGCGGCGGCGACCGAAAACATAAAAAAAAAAAAAAAAGAAAAAATTATTAAGTTTTAATTTATTTTTATATATATGTAAAAAAAATTATTATTATTATTTTTTTATATATATTCGATACGAAAATTTAATTAAAATCCATAATAATAATAATAATAATAATAATAGTATTGATAATAATAATAATATTAATAATAATAAAACTTATGGATAGATAAAAAAAATTGACAGTTATCTTATTGACAGTTATTATTAACTGATGTATCATTTAATCGTATATACCTGACTTATGTTTTCGCGAACGTAATGATAATAATAATAATAATAACAATAATAATAATAATCACACATATACGTTAAAACGATTTTTATTGCCAATGATAATAATACTAATAATAAAAAAAAAAAACAAAACGAAATTTGTCAAAACTGATAACTTCTGATCGTATAACAGTACAATTTAAAATTGATATTTAAACTATTTTTTATTTATTTATTTATTTAATTAATTAATTAATTAATAAAAAAAAAATCTGATCATATTTTTTTTTTTGTTTAAAGCGGCACCGACCAGATTATATATATATATAAAAATGATTATTATTATTATTATTTATTTATTTATTTATTTATTTAGCCAGAGATAAAAATTTACACTAAAAAAAGCTATTTAATAATTTTTTTTTTTTTTTATTAAATTTAAAATTTAAAACTACTAAAATCTATTTTTTTAAAAAATATCGAGAAGAAAAAATTTTTAATAAATTTTTTTTTTATTTTTTATTTTTCGCTTGGTCACAATACCTAAATAATAATAATAATAATAATAATAATAAATTAAAATAAATAGAAATTATTATTATTAATATTTTTTTAAAATTCAGAAAGTGTGAAAATTGTTTGAGGCATCCGTCAACAACAATAACAATAACAAAATAAAATCAAATTAAAAAAAAAAAATAATAATAATTATTATTATCATTATCATCATCACCATCAGTATTATTAATTAAATAATAATTACGTATAAAATAAATAAATAAATAAATAATAATAATTTTTTTGTTGTTATTTGTAATTCATTCTTTTTTCTTTCATCCACCGGTTTCATTTATTATTATTATCATTATTATTATCCTATGTATATAAATGATTATTATTATTATTATTACGTAATAAAAATCGTTTTTTAATTAATTAATTTAATATTATTATTATTATTAATAATTTTGTCGCCAATTTATAATTACAAACCGTGTACAATAATTTAAAAAAAAAACAAATTTTTTTAAACAAAAAGTTAATTAATTAATTATTATTTATTTATTTATTTATTAATTCACAACCTGAATCATTTATTTATTTACTTATTAACAATTGATTTTTTTTGTTTATTTTTTATTATTATTATTATTATTTTAAAATTTACATAATAAAAATTTGTTTTTTTTTCTTTTATATTACAATTAAATTTTTTTTCTTCCCCTTTTAAAATAAAACAATTAATTAATAAATTAATTAATAATAATAATAATAATAATAATAATTAATAATTTTTTAATTAATCAAGCTCGTCGAATATATCGAGAGTTTAAAATTAAATCAAATAATAATAATAATAATAATAAAAATGAATTAAAGGAACATATAAACTGTGTAGTTTGAATTGGATATGTATTAGCATCGTATATATATATATATAAATAATTAAATTAAAAATTATTATTATTATTAATAATACCATTATTATTATTATCACGTCGAATTATTTTTATTAACAATAAATTAATACATAAAATTTTCATTTATTTATTTATTTTTTTTGGCTATATTAAAAAAAAAAAAAAAACGTTTTATGTTAAAAATGGGCGTCGCAAAAAAATTAAAATAAATTATTTAAATAATTATCATTATTATTATTATTGACTTAAAGTCGAGGAAATAATTTTTGATGCTCATTTATTATTACTATTATTATTTTTATTATTATTATTATTATTATTATTATTATTATTATTATTATTATTATTATTATTACTCTCTTAATTTATTTATTAATAATGCCGAAAATAATTCAGTAATTAATTAATAATAATAATACTCGAATTAATTAAAATACGAAAAAAAATTTTTTTTAATTTTTTTTTTTAAACGACATTTTTACCGTTTTTTATTTTTTTTCAGTGCCGTAGGTATACATTTGTGTAAATCGATGTTACCAACGTGATCACAATAAAAAATAAAATAAATAAAT